TAAATTTTGTTTTAATTTACTGTGCTTTTACTAAATGTTTTTACCAAACTCTAATGCTAATAGCTAGCGCACTTAATTATTCAAGGACAGTGGGAAAATTGGTTTTTAAACACAGATTCTAATCCGGTTTTCTGCACACCAATTTCGGATGATCTGCTGTTCTGACCTGTTTTAATAATAAAAGGAATTTAGATGAGGGAGAGGAATGAACTGAATGAGCGGATGGCGTTTTTGACTGAATTATTCTCTTTCTGCGACCAACAGAAAACTGAAAATTTTGTTTGTTTCGCTGGAAAAACACATATATTTAAAAAAGAACATTTTCTCAAGTATTTTTATATCTATAGTGTGTTATTTAGATTTATTAAAATAGCATTTATTAAATGAGTTTTTAGCGGCACAGATATATTGGGAAGCTAAAAATGATGGGATTCGGGTTTCGAAGACTTCCGCTTTTCACATGTAGCAAACAGTGTGTCTGAACTCTTCCTCATATATTTTCCGTAACATCCCCCCTTGCCTTGCCATTTATGTCTCGAGAAGACTTTCGGCATAACAGATTTTAAATACCCCGTTCTTCAAAGATATCCAAATCAGCAGCGGGAAACGGCTATGTCTCATCCGGGATATTATCTCGGATGAAACGGTGTTTTCAGATGACCAAGATATCGTCCAAGGAGGCAAATAGACCAAAAACACTATTTTCATAATATCAGTTTAAACTAATTACATAACTATAATTGTATGAATATGAACATATTGATGCACGCGTACGGAAACAAAGCACGTATACGAGATACGAATACGGGAACAGGGAATACAATATTGATGCACGTATACGAGATACGAATACGGGAACAGGGAATACAATATTGATGCACGTATACGAGATACGAATACGGGAATAGGGAATACAATATTGATGCACATATACGGGAATAAAGACCGAGAAAACACGCAGGTTAATTAGATGGGCGAGGAAATAAATACAAGGGTACACGAAAAATTAAAATTACAATTTAAAATATTTTTACCTTATTTTTTATGATTACGTAATTAAAACACAAAAATTGTTGCTAGTATGTTCATACATGTAGGAGTACACACTAGTATACACAAAGATACATACGTACAGATAGAAGATAACAAAGAAATATACGTAACAGAACCTTCATACAGTTAAAAAAATTATTATAATAATATCAATATATAGAAGGAAATACAGAAAAAGGTATAAGTAACACGTACAGCTAAAGAATGGAGAAAAGAATATGAACGTAATTTTTATTAATGCATTTGTAAGGGCATAACGACCGAGAAAACGCGCATATTAATTAGGTGAGAGAATAAGTTAACACAAGGGTACACGTAAAATTAAAAACATAACTCAAAATATCTATAAAGTTATTTTTTATGTTGAATATAACATGAAAGTTTGATTATTTTATTTTACAATTAGAATGCGCTGTATTCAAAAATTAAATTATTTTTCCTAAATGCCATTTAGAACATAAAAATGACTTAATTATAAAAATTACTTTTCTCCCAAAGATGGAGTTACCGCTTTTTGAAATCTTATTACTCAACGTCCACTGAACTGTAAAATTCAAATACAAACCGTCAATTATTTTCCTTTTCATTTAGCAAATGCTTATATTAAATTAAAGTAAAATATTCATCCTTATACTGGATTTTTAGACTGTTTTACGATAACAGGCATAGACATGTGTATTTGGACATATCCAGAAGGTTCACAAAATATTGCCCAAACCGTGAGGTTTCAAATTCCTTGTACAAAATGAAAATTATTCATTACATTAATTGGTGTATCATGACTGAAACTTAAGAACAAGTGGCACAGTAAAATTTTGTCCAATCAACTACTTCTCGTCATTTTTTTAAACCAATTTATTTAGGGGTATGAATGTAAAATAATTTTCTGTGCTTTATTATAGGAGGGAAAAAAATAACAGGTGTGAAATTATACATCATTGTAGAAAATAATGATATTTTGGTGCAATTTCGTAAAGTTTATTACCTTTTGGCATTTATCCAATTTTTTTTTTTTTTTTATGCTGAGAAATTCTTGCTGTTGGATGGAGAAAGGAAAAAAAAAAATAAAATTTTTACCGAGTTCAGTTGTTTGAAACCTCCTTTTTTTAAAATGAATTTCAAAATTATGCAAACAAAACTATGATTACGTTTATAATCAAGCACATCAGTGTTAGTGCGCAGAAGATTTTGAAAGAATTGTGAGCTAAAAATAGACAAATTGTCTAAAATTGTCCAAAATGTCGTTTCTTTCCTCAAATTGCGTAATCTATTCATGCTTTCAGATATTTTTTTCTCTAATAATAAATATTTAAAGTCTAGTAATACTTATATTCAAACCAGCAAGCAAAATATTTAAGTCTCTTGTTATTAAATTTTAAATTTTCCAGAAGTCCAAACGTGAATCGATTTCCTTTAAAAACTCCGTCTTTAGAAGAAATATTTTAAATTGCGATAATATAGTTAAAAACTGGTAATACGTTAAATGTGTGTGTGTGTGTGTGTGTGATTATGGCAAAGCCTCGAGGGCTATCTGCCTGAAGGGAGGGATGCCTTCGTGGAGGACTTTCTAAGGAAAACTGGCTCGTATACACGCTACACATGGAAAAAAGCACGAAAACACTCATGCAGCCAGCCCGTTCGCGGGATTCGAACCTCGGACCGAACTACCAGTGTTCAGCGACTTTACCATTCGGCTGCTGGTGGGCGGTAATAAGTTAAAGCAACAGAAGATAATTTTCTTTTATGGTTATTTATATCTAACTCTCTCAATATATGCAGATAGATATATATTTAGATGACTGCCAGGCTAAATATAAAATGGGAAACAATAAATCAAAAATTAGATACAATTTTTGACTAGAATGTAAAAATTCAGTTGAATTTCATAAGTATTTAACTATGATCTTATACGAACGAAATACTTAAGCTTCTTAAAAAATTCTTCTAGCGAGATTAAAAGCAAATTTCATTAAATTGTAGGAAGGGCTCTAAATAAATCGTAATTATTTGTCTTTTGCAATTTTTCAATAGTTAAGCGACTACACATTTAAAAACATGAATACATTGCTTTTGTGTCACTTGTAAAATAATTCTAAATAACAATCAATTTTATTTAACTCATAAATTTATGAAGCTAATTGCTGATATGTATTAATAGAAAAAGAAGCATATTCCTTCTGTCAGTATGGTAAGTGATCATTTCATGAATTTATTTTTTAAATAAATGGTTTCAGACAACCACATATCAAGGGTTAATTAATACCTTATATTCAAATTTTGAAGTAATATGGTCTTAATTAATACTCGTACTCCTTTGAAAAGACGTATTAATGTTCTTTTTTTAATTAAAGTAAAATAAGTTATATATGAGACAGTTATCATTCAAATAATATATAGTTCCAGGCGCCCAAATAACATATAATTTCTTTATAAAGAGAATTTCGATATATTAGTGTAAAATTATTACCTTCGTGTTTTTACTTTTTAAACACAGATTGTGATATAGCTATCTTTCTTATGCACTCTAAATTTTAAGGGCGCAGTTCCACTACATACCAGAATTAAAAATAATTCAAGTGGTTATAGATTATGCCAATAATCCCTGAATCAGACTAGTGATGTGAATTTTAACTGTAATTAAATCAGTAGAATCATACCTTTGAATGATTAAGAATTATAGTATTGAGCATGCTATATAAATTTATAACATTTAAATTATTTTGCTCTGAGGAATAAGATTTTGAAAATAAAAGAAGTTTACCATATCGAAGATAAAACAATGGTTTTAAATAAATGTTAAACTGACATTATGCACTCAGTATTCTTGTTTCTATTTACGGTTTATATCAAGAAGTTCATTTTTATTCACTAACGTGAGCAACAATAGAAGTCCTTGGGGTTTTACAAAAGAAGACATGAAATTCATTAATTTACGAAAAAAATTGGAATATGTCCAATGATCTATTAATTCTGAACTAAGATTTTATTCTGCATTCACGAAATTTTGTCAAACACACGCTAAATGAACGAAGTGATTAATACTTATTTTATATTCCGGCAAAGCATTTTATTTTAAATGTCAATAAATTATTTTTTTTACATTTAGAGACCTAAAGAATTTTATTTATTTAGAAATCTATGGCAGCTATCCTGCGCAAATAGTTAAATTAAAAAATTCAACATCAAGTATTTTGAGTTGGCAAAATAAAAAACTCAACATCTAGCATTTTATTTATTTATTTATTTAATTTTTTTGTCTAAAAGTTTTTAGTTTAATTACATGCATAAAGGAACAGAAAATTGTTAATGCGTTATTTTCAGAGCAATGAATAATTTCGAACATCTGCTCACAAAGCCATTTGTTTCTAAGAGACTGGTGGTCAAGGGAATTTGACTCAATAAAAATGAACCAGACCAGATCTAAACTTTGACCTACTACATAAACAGTGCGCAATGAATCCATGAATTAAACAAAATACATTAAGTACGAAGAGAATAAAATGCACTTTTTACATTTAGAAAATTACGTTTATATTTAAAACTTTGAAATACTACGTTAATAATACATTTAAAAGTCGAGAATAATAAGCACATTTTCCGTTGTTCAGGCCGGACGTCTATTCATCTTATAAAGCATCATATAAAGCATCGTATAAATGAAATATTTGCGTTTACCTTGCTATTATTATTTACGCAATAAAGTAGTAAAATTACGATTACTTAAAGGAAAAACTAGGAAAAAGCGACATTTGATAATTCCTTTTTTTTTCGTAGGCAATAGAAGCTACTAAATTCAGAGAAATTGTAAATTGAAAACAAACCTGCCATAGCGTAACGCTCGCTGAATTCACCCCGTTATAGTTCTACCAGAACCCAGTGGAGGAGAAATTGTAACATTTACACCACCGCGATCCTCTCGGAGCAGGCGAGATTAAAAGCGGGCTTACCTGCGAGTTTCTTGGGCTCAGTTCTGGTTTCGGTCTTGCAGTGGGGAGGCATGACCATCGCTGAGGTCATCTCTCGAGGGGGCACGGGACGGCCGTACTGCAAGAGCACGTGATCCCAAAGAATCGGTGGGCCCGCCACGTTGGATGTGTGTGCGTTCACTCCGACATGCGTTGCCTTGGTTACTACTATAGCATCGCCGATCTCCAAGTCCGAAGAGTCTGAGAATGCCTTCTTCCTTTGCGCCTATCTGATGGGAGTGTGCTCCGGCCTCGAGCTCTTCGCTTCTACTGCGGGAGGACTTCGATGTTGATTGGACGAGAGCTTCAGCCATCGGCCACTCGCGAATACGAAGGGGATGCTTTTTTCGGTGGCGCGCACTTGCGCTGCCGCGCCCAGACACGTGCTTTTGGACACCCCTCTTCACAAAACACACGAACTGGACTTCCGTAGACCACGCGGTTTTTAAAGGGATTTGACACACTAGACTGCACGAGAAGGAGTGTTGGCCGTATTTTAGATCCGCAGTGTCATATGGAAGTAAAGATGATGAACTTTACTCTAAGCGCTGAAGTGGATGCTTGTGCCCGAAATCATAGCAGAGAAGATGGAAATACAAGGAATCTTGCCGATGAATAGGTTATCTCTGATTATTCAATCAGAATATGATATCCTTAGAACTATTGCAGAGATAATATTTGCATAATGAATTACAACTGCTATAGCTTAGTAAAGATTCATTTCCTTAAAATCGAAAATTTCCTTTATGCATTTCTTTAAATTCGGAAACATTTAAAAGTGTATTATTAAATTATGTTTTTATATAATTTTAAAAGCAAACAGCTTATGCAACGCCTAAAACTCAATAAAAACGCAAATACGCAAGGTTTTATTGACTCTTAGGGATTATTAAATAATGTCACTCAGATTAATGATTTTCTCCTTACTTTATAAGACTATCTTTAAAGTCAAAATGATTAAAATTCTGTTAAAATTAAAATTCCTATTATTTCAGTTAACAGGAAAAGAGATGTATTTTTAATTTTCAGTTTTTGAGTACTCTATTAATCTCTTTTAGTTCATATATTATTTCAAATAATATTTTTGAAAACAAAAGTATGGTTAAAACCTTAGAATGGTATAATAAAGATAACACATAAGCATTATAAATATTAGAATTTAAATACATGTATACGAGCCAGTTTCCCTTAGAACGTCCTCCGCGAAGGCATCCCTTCCTTTAGGCAGATAGCCCTCGTGTGCTTTGCTGTAATCCAAATCCAAAATCCTTTACTTTATAATTAACTTATAACGCCCATTAATAGATTAATTTTTGTTATTGTCGTTAATGTGCAGCTGTATAAGCAATAATACAGGAATTCATAAATTTAGCATTTTGTTTTTTAAATACATATGCAGTTTTTTTAAATACACCTAGTGCTCAACTAAGCATTTCTTACTCTCAATTTTGCTTTTATATTTAAGTATTTAGAGGTATTTTTAATACAGTATTGTCAAATTAGCAATTAAGTCATTTACTATACCAAATTAGCAATTAAGTTATTTATTATATCAAGTTAGTAATAATCAATTTTATTTAATCATGTATACTATAATTCTAATATTTACAGGACTAGAACAAAAAGCAATTCCAGGATGAAAAGGAGTTAACTAAGGTAAGGTTAAAATATTCTGTAAGTAGAAAAAAAATTCATTTCATTCGCTTACATAGAATATTCAAAGTTGAATGTAATGAAAAAAAAAACTGTAAACAAGTTAGTCAGTATGACATAGGAACAGCAAATATACTCTCAAGGGCTAGCAGCAACTGTAGATTTAGCTCTAAATCAAACCATTAAGATTGTTACTCTAATAGTGAAAGGAAAATATACAAATAGCAATACTAATACAAATATTAATGACGAGTACTTTCATATTTTTAATTGGTAACCACCTTTACGTTATTTGCTTTCTGTCTAATTTTCAGTTATACGAGTGAACACTTTTAATAAAGAATCCATTTTGCACTTTTTTGCTTATTACTAACGTATAAGTATAATTTCCATTCAAGTGCCATGTAGCTTTTCTGGCAGAAAAATTCTACATGAACTTCGCTATTTCTAAAACATACTGCTGTCTTAATTATTAATTAATTAAGAAATTAATAAATAATTGTGCTCAGGAGGCACTAAATGCAATATTTACTTTTTTTTAACATGCATTTCGGTGATATCTTCTTAGTAAATATAAAAATATTCTGTAAAATTAATTAGTAAATTTAAATATTACTAAATATAAAAATACATTATACAGTCATATTATACAAATATGTTATATTAGTAAATATGAAAATATATTATACAGTTAGATTTACAAATATGTTACATTTGTAAATATAAAAAATAGAGTTGTATGATTATTTTGAAACTTATTTTCATCATCATTCCATTATTTATATCCATGTGCATAAACATTTTGTATACGGAAGTCCTAATCGAGCCTTTATGTTCGAAACCGTTAGTCGTCGTTACCCACTTCTAATTGCAGAAGTGTTTTAAATGACACAAGTATTCATTTTCTGGCATTTTCAGAATTAGACATACTAATTTGTAACGATTGTGCAATGTAACATTATATGTACTCTGCCTCTTCCCATACTTGTATTTAGAGAAATTTTGTTCTCGCTATAAAAAATAAAATACATAATGTATGAATTCCGTACTATAAAAATCGATCAAAATATTTTATACTAAAGTTGTAGAACATACTGAGGGGACGTACACAACTGGAAAGGGAAATGTTTGCATTTGTACATAAATCAGTTAAAAGAGAACTTTTCCGTTGTTAATAGATTAACTGACCAGCATTTCTCTGAATAATATAGAGACTGCTGTTTTTAATAGAACTTCAAATAGAGATCTTATTCACAGAATTCGTATTCACTCGTTTACTGGAAAAAGCTGGCAGGCTTCAGTATTGGCATGTAGCCAATTAGTAACATTATTTTTATTAATTACAATACCAATATTTCTAGTTTAGTGGTTTTTGCCTGATTATTATATTATGATTATAAAATAGCAAATTTGCATGAGAATACTAATAACGTATTTTTAGCGTTGGAAAATTTACATGAAATGTTTTCCGGCATTCCAAACTTAGAAAATTAAAGGCACAAGTATATCACACAATAATATTATTGAGTGGAATTTAAGGAAAGAAAATCAGCCTAGTAGTGTTCTAATTTATACGTTACTCGATCTTTTAGCTGTAATAGGGAATCAAAAATCACAAATTTGGAAATTAAACATCTCGATTAATTCTTGGCATATGGGAATCAAACAGTTTGTGTTCTCTTATTTATAACAAAAGTAAACTTTTCCCTAAATATAAATATAGGGACAAGTGAAAAATATAAAAAATTAGATTTTATATTCTATACAAAATTAATTTTTTTAATTAAAAAATACAAAACGTGGATTTTTGAATCGTTTAAAAGATTTTTGCAATTGTATATAATTATATAATTTAATGATGCTGTAACATAATTAAATAGGTTAATTGTAAGTTATTTCACTTAAAATTATCTCAGGAAAAATCTGGAATTTCTTCATCAACAAGAAATATTCAGTAACAGTCATTTATGATCGGGAAATTGCAAAAGATAATTAAAACTATTTTTTAAAAAGAAGGAAGTCATCAAGATATTACTGATGCATAAGGAATAATATGCATTATATTTTTCTGCTGCATAACGGATAATATGTATTATAAATTATGGTACTCTTACTGGAAAATTCCTTGAAGAAACGAGTATATTTTAACTGTATTAATCGCAGGAATGCTTCATAAAATAAAATGAAAAGCAAACGTGTCATTTTTCCTGATACCATAACCTTTTCACGTTAAGTCACTAGCTTTGAACAACACAACTCCTTCTTTTACCAGGAATCTCCATTTTGGTGTTCCTTCCAGGGAGGAAAGGTAACATTTGGAATGTTACTTAATTACTTCTTGTCCATCAGAAATTCTTTTTTACATGTACTTCCGTTTCAGTTCTTTTTTTTTTTTTTTTTTTTTTCAAAAATCTTTTGTTTATCGTTTATATCGAAATTTCTCTTCGCAAACTACATTATTCGCAAGAAGACATGTCTTGTAATGTAAAAAGTAGTAATGCATGGTAATTAATTAATTCATAAAGTAAAGTAATGCACGGTCTTTTTAAATTTTAGGCTGTAATACATATTTGATCAGCACTGAAAAACACTAGTTTAAAATTGTAAAATAAAAAGCATTCGAGTTTTCTTTGGCATCATACTACACATTTCTATATGTTAACATAGAGAGTCCAAAACATTTAGACTGATAAAGTAAAAGTGTTTTATATTATCGGATATTTTCTTCATAATAAAAGTAAATTTCAGTTATCTGGCGTAACTCTATATCCAGAAAAATTAACCCTGGGATCTACTAGTGTCATCTGAAATTAAGTCCTTGTGGTTAATTAATTTTAACATATAGTAGTAGACTTAATACCATAGTAGTAGCATAGTAGTAGACTTAATACAAAATTTAAAAAAAAAAAAAAAAAAAAAAAAACTTTAAATTTGGGTTAATTTTACAGAATACTCTCTTGATTTCGAAGGAGTCATGGAAAGAGATCACTCTTCTTCAAGGAACAAAAGCATTTTGCCGTTTCCTTTTGCTCCTTCAGAAATGGGATCTCATTGCTCGAACACCTTGAAATCTATTGAAATTTTCCCTAAACAAACTTCATCTTGATGTTGATTATTTCTAATTCTGCACCTGATTCTGGTTCTAATTTTTAGTTTATTTGATTCTTCTTTGGAAATTTAATTTGATTCTTCTTTGGAGATGAAAGTGATCCTTCACACAAAACATGAGATTAAATTTAAACTCAAACCAGGACCACTATTCTAAACGTGGACACTCTTAACTTTCAACTACTAAAGCTGGTATCCATCTTCTACTAATTATCAGAAGAAATAAGATATGATATAAAGGAATAGATATATCAGAATATTTTTTATATTTGATTCTTAAAATTTAATTACACAACTGCAATTTCAAAGTGTGTGAAGAGTATAAAGTTATTCAGTCTGTGAGGCTAGTCTAACTCATTAGTTTAGAGTAAATTAATTAATGCCAGCAAGATAATCATAATACAGAGAAATGCAAATGACTATTTATTAGCTTCCATTAGAAAACTTAACTCACACTGAATCATTAAATTAACATGAA